GTGTCTAATGTATTGATTATCAATGTTACCTATAGTACCTCTTGGCCTTTTCAGTACAGGCTAGTAAATAAAGAAGTCCAATGCAGCCATATTTAATTGTGAGGCTTGGTGCAGCTATAAGTGCAGGTTATATTTTGCTATGTACCGGTTTGGTGGGTTTTATGCTGTGAAAGATACACTTGAACTAGTGTTTTCATCATTTGTCAACCTTATAAACTCATCATTTGTCAACCTTGTCTCTGAATCAGCCTTAGGAACTAGAATTTAAAAGGAGATCTAAAGGCACCGACATCACATTAGATATTCAGAAGAAGCATTGTGAATAAATAAAAAAAGCTTTGTTATTATGCTCCAAAATACTTTCTTACTTTTAAAAACATTGCATATCCCTGTCTCTTCTGATTAGCAGATTTTGTTGCACACACATGCCACATAAAGCTGGGCTCCAGGCTGTAGGAGAGGCTGTCAAAGTAGAGAGATGGGAGATGTGGGCAGGACATTAGGGAGGAGGGGTGGAGCTTTGATGGAGTAGTGAAATAACAGTGTAGTAGTTTTTGAACACAGTGCATGTGTGACTACGATGGGAAATATTGGGAAGAAAGAATGAAATGTGAACAAGGGCATACGGGAAACATATATAAATGGATGTGGTTCTCAGCATCTATTCAAAGATATATATGGAAACTAAATGGACATATACATTTAAAGATACAGGGTGACATGTGTTAAAATGCTGAAGCAAATATTACATTTTTGCTTTATGACTTTATTGAAGATTTACATTTAAAAATGGCTGCTCTCCTTTCTAGTACCTAATTGCTGTACTAAGAAAATAAATGGGCTGAAAAGGTTTCACATTACTTTGCTTCTCACTTCCTATTTTTACTTCAAATATCTAATTGTGCTCAAGGAATTTAAAATAAACTTTGTACCTAACTTTATGCAGTAAGCACAGAGATTAGGATAAACATTTAGATTATGATTTCAAGGGAAGGTCATATTTTTGGTGACTCCATGGGGTTGATTTACTAACCTTATAAACACACCACGAACATGTATACACCTCTGTAGTGTGTTCCCTCCCAGCACGATCTATGGGTGGAATCTAAACAGCTTTGTAGTGTGTACACACCCAGCAGGTGTGTTGTGCAAAGCCTTGCATGAATTGCAAGGTGATGTTGTGTAAATTAGCTCTATGTTGTGTTGCTTGCGTTGATGAATGCAGGAATGTAAATGCATGAGCTAACCATTTTTGTCTAAACTGTGAAGCAGCATTATATACAGTATGCATCATGTGCATGATTTTTCCATATATGGCATTAGTGGAAATATGCTTTTAGAGACTTTTTGGTTGATAAATACGTTTTGCTGTGTGAAAATCACACGCACCCGGTGCGTGTGTTTAGGTTAGTAAATCACCCCCCATGGCTCATAATACAAACTTAGAGATACTGGCATTGGGTTTTCCCAATTAGCTTGATTATTGAGACTGGAGTATCACTGGTTGATGGTGGCTTTATGTCTGCAGAAGGTGACCCTGCTCTATAGTTATCCATAAACTTCAGAGTTATCCATAAACTTCAGACATTGGTTAGACAGACACACAAGGACTGACTGTGCTCAAGCTTGAGCATCCTCAGTTCTCTTTAGCTTGCACTATAGACTTGAAAGTGCAACTCTGATGCACAAACTAGTTTATGTTCTTTAAGGAGGAAAGAGGGGGATGCTAGGTTGTAAAAGAGAATATGCTGCTGGTCAAGGCTTATTTGGATTACCAGTAGATATTGGAATAGGTTTCCTAATTTGGCTGATCACTTTGCCCCCCAACAGCAACTGGGCAACTGTATATGCTGTTAACTACAGGCATTCCACATTGGCATAGGCTATAGCTTGCTATACGTGGCTCAAATATTGAACAATTATTATTGAATTGGCTGAAATTTGAGCTAGGGGTGGCCCTGTCAGCCTCAGACCAGCACCAGCTTTACAAAGGAGCTAGGTAGTAAATTGTCAACCGAACAGTGACAGCATCCAATTATTTGCAGTCACTGTTTGGGTATTCAGAGGCTGTCTGAATACAATAGCTAGCATGGGGGATTCCTCCATCCATGTTGCTTAGTGTGAATTTGGGGAATCAAGGGATTTCTCTTGTTTAGCATGCTGGGCTGAAAGAAATCTTGCCATGTATGGCTAGCTTTCCTGTGATACTTTCCAGGCATCCTTATTTTTCAAGAACCAACTTCTTTGTAGTTACACTTAACACATGTATTGTAGAAAGCAATTGACCTCTCCATTGTATTTAACACTTTTGAGAGGCAAACACTCAGTTGTCAACAAGGGATTGTTTTTCATCCAGAGAGAAAAAGATTAATCAATTGTAGTCAGTAAATTAACTTCTTTTAGATAGCCATTGCTAAGCTCTATAAAAGGCTTTCTGTACACTGACATAAGAATAGTCCATTAAGGCTGAACAAATTATTCTGTTTGAAACGCTCAGGTACCATGTTGCCTTTAAACTGCGTTTAAATGGCAGTTTTCTGCCAGCACTTTCACAGACACGCACGTGTCCCATTTACCTTTAGAACACGCGTGGTTCCAAGTGAAAGAAACAATGGTTTGGGGTTTTATGACATGTCTGGTGTTTATGGTGGGATTTGTGATTCGGAATAAAAGATCCTCCTAAGTGCAAGGTGGCATACCTTTCCTTAATTACTTTCTTAATGTGAAACTATCACAGACTATTTCCTACCTGAATAAAGTTTAACACACCCAATTGTGATCATGAGATGCGAATTGGAAAGTGGGAGAATGATCAATCAATGTGAACCTCCAGTGGACTTGAATTGAGAGTGAGTGCAGTTCGGATTCTGTACTTCAGAGATTTCCTCTGTGGTGCTATACAGAGAATTTAAGTAAATGTAAAGCTAAAACTTTTTTGTTTGCATGCAGTACGGAAAGGTCAAGTACCTGTTCACGCCAGCAGCACCCCCTACTGCCTGGCCTCTGGTGTGCGTTGCGATGGAAGTGATGCAATGTTCTGGTTTCGGCCCAGCTGACTTAAAAGTAGACAAAGCAAATTGCCTTGTCAATGCATTAGGGCAACCCAATGATTGTGGTTTGAACAGGCTCTAGAACACTAGCAGTTTTTCCTATCTTTGTTCCATTTCCAAGAAATATGTACGTCCATGATCCGTTTAGCCCACTTTTATGCAGCCAAATGCATGTAAACGCATGTAGACACATTTGAATATAAGTACACTTAAATGCAGGAGAGATGAATCTAGAAGGTTTGATTACGCTTCCCAGATCAATTTCTCATTCATCAAATGCAGGATGCATGTACATGAGGCCTTGTCACAAGTTTTTTCAGAGTGTTTATATATACAATTAGTATCACATTTGTAGGAATCCATGTTTTTTCACTTGGAACAAATCCACTTTGGCATTCTATACATAAACATTTCTAAGGCTCTTGATAAAGAGTTGACCTTTGGCAAGCATACGTTTAGTGGTATTTCATTATTCAGACATTGTTGCACAACATAACCGATTTGCTCTCATGATGTTAGTTACCACAGTGCATTGATAGCAGAATGATGTGCATGTGACACACAGAAAACTCTGTGCTCCACTACATACAGTACAGGTGAAACTCGAATAATTAGAATATCGTGCAAAAGTAATGGCAGTAATTGCTGCAAAAGGTGCCCAAACCAAGTACTGAGTACATATGCATGCTTGTACTTTTCAGAGGTCCGATATTGTTCTATGTACAATCCTTGTTTTATTGATTGCATGCAATATTCTCATTTTCTGAGGTTGTGGATTTGGGGTTCTTGGGGTTTTCATGAGCTGTAAGCCATAATCATCACAATTATGACAAATCACGGCTTGAACTATCTTGCTTTGCATGTAATGAGTCTATCTCATATATTAGTTTCACCTTTTAAGTTGCATTAGTGAAATAAATGAACTTTGCACGATATTCTAATTATTCGAGTTTCACCTGTAGCAGTAGGTGTTAGGTAGGTGAAAGTCTCCACAGTCAGGGTACGTTCACACCATAATATGCGCATCACCACAGATTAATTGACATCCACTGGCAGAGTGCATTTGTGTGTGCACTGCAATGCATTTTTATGTGTTTTTTTAAGAGACACATTTCTTTGTCTTTACACAGCACCTGTTGCAATAAAATGCTGTCTACCTAATTTTTTCAGCTACGTTGTGTGGACTGACAATAGAAAACAAGGATTTTTGTCTTTTCCATGTGTTGGGGCTGCTTTGATCAATGTATGTGGTGTGAACAAGGCCTCAAAGTCCCATGCATGAGTCTTCTGTAGGCTATCAAAGCTTTTATTCTACTTTTCTGGCATTGTCCAAGTACGAAAGTTCTGTTTACCGGTTTTATTAGAGTTTGCTGCTATGGTTTACATATTTTGCAGAAATATTCTCTTTGCAGCCACCTCACCATTTTTCTGGTTTACTGACTTCTTTGACAGCTTTGTTAATACGTGGAAAATCAGAGTCCACGGAAATACAGTACTTTAGAGCAAGATGTTTCATATCTTAATCGCGTTGCAGTCTATTTCTAAGTACGCCTTTTAAGTAGCCAATACCATTTTCACATTTCAGTAATCTGCAGTAAAATGCATGGTTTACAGCATGTTACCAACAAGCACAAATTGCGTAACCATGGCTATAATGGGCAAAGTGCCCGTACCACAAGGCACATGTGGTTGTGGTATACCAAGCAAAGGGGTCACTTTTCAGTTTTCATGCATTAAGGTGCGCTGCCAGAGTTAATGCAACACACAGTTTGAATGAGTTCTGTATAGAAGATAATGGATTAAAATGCAGCAGCACCAGGTTTGACCATAACAGACATTTCAGTAATGTGTCCCCCCATTCAAGTATATTCTGCTTAAATGAACTTCTGCTTCAGGAAAAGTACAGAACAAAGATCTTTTTCATCTAATTGTAAATGATTCTTTTGACAGGACCCATCAGGGAATATTTGTAAGGAAGGTATTGGAGAAGAACATTTTCACCTGGAAGGTAGGAAAATCCAATAAATTATACTATATTTAAAATTGTTGTTGTTGTGGGAGCCTAAAAGGCATTGGATTGATTTTGCATTTTGATTAGCTAGTAGTGAACCATTGGCCTTCTGTATTAAAAGTGTCTTAAATGTGTTTTTAATATCAATACAATATTCACAGATGATTTAACCCATCATTCAAGTAACATGAAGGCTAATCTGGCACAAGCAGTCCCCTTGTCCCCCCGATAAGAGTTTTAACTGGTTTCTGTGATCATTGCACAAATATTCATTTACATCATGGTGCTTTATGAGTACTGTGTGTGTTTTGTGTTGTATTTGAATTTGGACGCAAGGCTCCCTTATGGAAAGTAAACTGAATGTTAATCTTTACATGGCTTAAAGTACATCTGTGCCTAAGCTATGAACAACTACAAACTATGAGCAACTATTTACATATTCTTAACAAGCAGTAAAAGAGCTTTAAAAGAATAGTCCAGTTTTGTGACTGTGATTCATGTTACACCCAGAATTGAAACATGGTCACATTCACAACCCCCCCCAACTCACATGAATTACAGGGTTCCTCTCACTGCAGGCTTCTGTTCAGCTATAAAGTTGGCTGTTTCATCCATTCTGTGATCCAATAATGGGATCTGTGAACAGAAAGGCTACACGTCCCATCTGCCACTGTGGCGGAGGTATTTGTAGACTTTAATGAAGCACAAGTACGATGATATAATTAATTACTTCATCCAGCTCATAACTGAAGGGCCTTACCTCTGTATGGACCTGGGGCTACAGGAACAGTCTGCAGGAGCCTGTACATTGCACCCACAATTCACTGATTGCGGTTGCAATGCTTTGCAGGCTCCAATGCAAAAGAATTATGAATGCATATTTTTTCTTTCATTTTTTGAGTGCATTTATTATTTTTCCCCACAAGATGAATTATGACTTTGAAGCAATTTAAAGTTATCCCTTTTCAAAATCCTCAAAGATCACATTAAAGACTCTAGAGTCAAGTTTTAGTCCAGTTTCCAATGGCTTAGACCAGGGGCGCCCACTATTTTTCATCTGGAGATCTACTTTTCAAATGACGAGCTCATTGAGATCTACCAACGAAAAAACACCTGCATTCATGGGTGGGAGGGGGCGTGGGCTGCGCAGGCAGGCCCCTCGCCCACAGTGCGATCTCCTGCATTAGTGCCTGTGTTCCAGTCCAGTGCGATCCGCAAAAATGCTGCGAGCACTATTTTTGCAGATCGCACTGGACCGGAATGCAGGCACTAATGTGCCTGCGTTCCGAGTGCGGGCGATCGCACTGTGCGCGATGCCATTGACTTCAATACAGCTCCACACCCCCTCCCGCACCGGAACGCAGGGAGTCGGCCTGCTTACATTCCAGTGCATTCCAGTACATTACAGGTCCCGGCGTCCTGTCCTCCCGTGGTGCTCGTGTGGCCGACGTTGCACATGGGGTGTCCTGCACCTTTCCATCTGCAATTAGTGACAGCGGCTCCGTTCTCCGCCCTCCCCGCCGCCGGTTCCTTCACTTCTTCTCGGATCCCCGCTGGGGAGAGCAGCGGGGATCCAGAGAAGCGGCGGGAGGAGAGGACGTGACGATCTACCAGTGATCGCTACTCGATCGACTGGTAGATTGCGATCGACCTTATGGGCACCCCTGGCTTAGACACACTTGCTGGTTGTTTACATGAGAGGGCTGGCAGGCTGCCAAGATTTGCTGTCATAAAAAAACATAGCTCCTCTGTTGTGAACTCTGAAAATTATTTTCTTCATAATGCTTATAGATACAGAGATGAATGAGGGCTTGTTTAAAAGTGCTTTTACTGCTTGTTAAGAATATGCATACTTTAGTGTGCATGATCTAGTAATTGGCCAACTACTAGTACTGTGTTACACAGGTACACATTGCCATGCGTTGATGTGTTTTCAAATTGCAGTGCAGTGCAACACAGTGTGGTGGTTTAAATGGTCTCTGTGGAAAACAGTGTATTGTCATTGGTCCATGCATTATGTTCGGTGATGTTTGGGGAACTTAGCACATATGGTCAGCGCTTAAAGGGGTTCTAAAGCCTCCCGTTTTTTGCCTATATCTACTGCTGACAAGCAGTAGATATAGGCAAAAAGTTTAAAATAAAACAAACAAAAAACGCTTAAACAGCGGTTTAGACAGACCTTATTATCGCTGCTCGCTCCCGCGGCGAGAGTCCGGAACTGTTTGTGCGGCCGCAAAGGATCTTGGGGCGGGCACATGCGCAGTTCGGATTCTCGGCCGGGAGACGAGCAGAGACGCAAGGTATGCCTATGGACGCGTGCACCCGCATGCAGACAACGCTGGATCGGAAGTGCCTGTAAGCAGAGAGGAGTCAGATCGCTGGATCGGAAAGCCGCCGCACCGCTGGAGGGACAGATGAAAACATGGGGAAAGAAGAGGAAGATCGGATTAAGAGACATCATTTAAGGTAAGTGCTGACATTAACATGGGGGGAGGGAAACATTTTTTATCCTTTAATGTCACTTTAAGGAACAGTCTTGAAGCCGTTTTAAACATAAACAGGACAGTCTTTTATTTCTTTCATCAACACAACCTATAGTCTGCTAATGTTTAAGCAAGTAGACAATGGGGTTGATTTACTAACCTTATAAACACACCACGAACATGTATACACCTCTGTAGTGTGTTCCCTCCCAGCATGATCTATGGGTGGAATCTAAACACCTTTGTAGTGTGTACACACCCAGCAGGTGTGTTGTGCAAAGCCTTGCATGAATTGCAAGGTGATGTTGTGTAAATTAGCTCTATGTTGTGTTGCTTGCGTTGATGAATGCAGGAATGTAAATGCATGAGCTAACCATTTTTGTCTAAACTGTGAAGCAGCATTATAGATGCATCATGTGCATGATTTTTCCATATATGGCATTAGTGGAAATATGCTTTTAGAGACTTTTTGATTGATAAATACGTTTTGCTGTGTGAAAATCACACGCACCTGGTGCGTGCGTGTGTTTAGGTTAGTAAATCACCCCCCAATGTCTCACCGACCAAAGATTGTCGCACATTCTCCATGTGTAAATGGTTCTCTCAGCCTCCTCGGCTGTCTTCCCTGTGCCTCTAGCACACACAGCCACCTGGCTCCCCTCTGACTTCTGGGGGGAGTCCTCCTGACTCCTGAACACCTCTGTTCCTCTTCCCAGCTGGAGCCCAGAATATTAGCCAGCGCCCTTCCCATAAGTTCTGTGTACAGGTGTGCAATTAGGTGCTGGACACTATTAAACAATGGACCCAGGAATGGAGATTTCTAGAGCTGCAGACAATACCACAGTCCATAAAATGCAGCAAAACACATAGCAGATTGCCTAGCGTGAACGAGACCTAACACTTTAGATTTTTTAATTACCGTTATGTTGATATGCTAAAAACAAGATAGCAGTAATGCTATCAAACAACATGTTCAGATAAGGTGTAAATTCACTTATGCAATTATTTAAAAGTTGTAATTGACCTGTGTTCTTCTCATAAACGGTGTCATTAGATAAGGACTGATTAGATATTATACAAATCAGGCTACCCTTCTTTCCTAACTACGTATAAACACTATACAGTGTAGGCAGATAATGTACATCTTAGTACTGTGAACTAACAGATCGTAGAAGAGATGGAACATGCAGGGTCCATCTTGAAATTCCTGCACAGTTAGATGTCTGGGCCACACACAGTGTAAAGTAGCTGACGTTTTGCATGTTTAAACTTACAAATCATTGTGCAGATCTTGTGAATCTGTACACAGTGACAGCAGTGATAAGCAGACAGCTTTCTGAAACCTCAGATCCTTTGAACAAGTCACTCTGTTTTAACATACATCAACCACAGAGATACTGTTATCTGTTACTCAGTCATCTTTTGCACATTAAAACTTGACCAGCCAAGAAAGACCATTAACTACCAGAGACACAAGAGAGCTGAGGGATATGCAGGCAAGATTCAACAGGGGCTTGAACATAAATGGTTGCAAAGTGGAGGGTGGCACATTGCAGACACCTCCAGCACTAGCTTATAATAGTGAATATAACAGCAATGGAATAAGGGTTCTTAACCTGACTGGTCCCTCTGCTGGGGTCCAACACCACTTGCTAAAGTCACAGCTAGAGCTCTGCAATTACCAAAGCTCACACTTTCTGCTGACTGGATAGTTCTACCTCTGATTCAGCAGGGGGCATGCCATACCTCTGCAGAGAGACCACTGCTTCCACACAGAGAGCAAGGGTCCTTCTCTGTAGTAGGCTAGAAGGGAAGAGCTGTTCTTTTCAGGCAGTGGCTGCTTTCTTAAAGGAGAACTATGAGGTGAGTGCTTTTCACTCACCTCATAGTTCTAGCCGACCTGTGACAATGAAACTGTCACAGGTCGGCTCAGTAGATCGGAAGGCGAGCGAACACATACCGGCGTTCGCTCACCTCTCGATCCTGTCACAGCCCTCTGCCGTGACAGGGGAGGGGCTGGATTCCAGCGCTGCCTGGCGAATCGGACGGGGAAGGGGGCATGTACAGCTGGCTCTGCCTCTAGATAGGCAGAGCCAGCTGTCACTCACGAAGCTGGGCGGATCCAGACATAATTGCCGGGATCCGCTTCAGCTGCAGGGTCTCAGTATACCGCGAGCAGTAGCTCGTGGTATGCTGTGGCGTCTCAGTATACAGCTCGCGGTATACTGAACTTAGGGTGATGGGAGGACACTAGTTTGTGTCCTCCCGTTACCCTAAGCCTTAACCCCATAGTTCTCCTTTAAGAAATCAAACTGATCGCCTAGGTTTACACTTGAGCTTCTTCAAATGTTTCTGGAGCGCTTTTTATTACGCATTATGCATATGTTTTTAGGCGTTTTCATGTGGTTTCAGGATCAAGCGATTTTCTGTAAACTAATGGGAAGCAGTTTTTTTTTTGTAACATCAATCGCCCTAGTCTTAATTTTATCTCCTTACTGGTTTTTCTGTGGTGCTGTGGCCTGTCATGCTATGAAAGCTATCTTGGGCCTTGTCCGCTATGATTTCATTTATGGCAGCAGCTGTAGGTCATATGGGTTCATATAGAATGGTTATTGACCTCACCAGTGTCATAAACTGTTCAACTTCCCTTGAGAAACGTCGTGCTTCCTCTCTAGGTTCCTCTGCTTCATCCAAGCTCTAGGGTTACTAGGAGGAGGTGACTGGTTGCTAGCTTAGAAAAGGCCAGAAAATGCTCCTGTGCTGAATGTAAACTGCCACTATAGAATATATTGGTAATCCCCATGTCAGTCTTTGAAGCTCTTCTATAAAAGTGCTTCAACTCACCACTCAGATGTGAACCAGGGCTTACTTTGAAAATATTTAGTTTTGATGCACCTGGAAAGTATTTGGCTGATTAAAACTGAAGGTTCAGTTGGACTTTATGTGATACTGTTTCTGTTAGAAAAGCTTGCCAGATCACTGTTATTTTGTCCTGATAACTCAGTACCAGGAGGTACCTGTTTACTTCTCCCCTGTATACAGGCCACACATGCATTAAAGCAAGCCAGATGTTTTTCTTTAGGGACGTGCTAGCAGACACGCTTCTTCAACGGTGGTTGGATCCTTCCTGTAAATCAGGCCTCTGTTTAGTGCCTAGAGGCGTCTTAATCTGTGATATCACAGCTGAATGTGGTCACTGACCACTCGGTCTAGGAAAAGTATTTTATTGCCTCGTTGGTCAGTCTTAGATCATATTCTGTGTCTGACTCTGCATTTTTTTTTCTCTTTGTTATATGTCTAATTCTAAATTTCTGACCTGGCAAACCAAAAGGAGCATTACAAGAAAAACATTTGTAATGATTAGTGTCCCAGCAGTTAAGTTTCTAGCAGTCAACTATCTATTATTTTAGAACTATGTTCTCATGTTCATGAAGCCTGTTGACCTTTATCATTGTGTACCAGCCATTATGTCTGGAAGTTCAATTTCAGCATCTTCACTGGTCTACCTACCAAACTGAATAAGTGTTGTGTGGATATTTCAGTTCTTGAATGATGGAATCCATAACCAACTTCCTATATCTTCCAGTGATTCAAAGCCAGATGGTGGAGCCACCTCTGAGGTCCCAGCCTATACGTATATTGTGCACCTCTGTACTAGTTACACATGTGCAAGTCAAAAAAATGAAATGCATTAAACCTTTACTGCAATAATACAATCAAGATTACAATTATATCTTTATATTAAAATATAGATTGGAAGGCAATATCCAGTTATATATAAGCTTTTATTGTTTCCTTAAAAATATTTAGATTTGCTTTTGTTTCAAGCTAGGAAGTAATTTGCAATAAAATATGCAGCGTTGGTAGATTCCACTATTCCTCTAAAATTTTCACAGCCCCACTGATCAAAAGCGAATCTTGCTGCTATTTGTACATAGAATCCAGTCTAAAGCTGATAAGATCCCACATCTTTTTATAGTTGGTGAAGGAGAAAGTGCTTTGATGTTTTCAGGGAGGAATAGAGGGGGTAAGATTTTCCATATGGGTGTTTGGCTAACGCAACAAACACTGTTTAAAAATGTAACTTTGCCTAATTAATTAGCGATTCTGTTTAATACCCGTCTGATCTCTGTCCAACAAGGTATTTTGAGCCTTTAGAAAAAGAACTTCAAAGTGCTGGTTAAGATGGTCTGAACAGGGGTGTTAACCTCTTTAGTGCTGGATGCGTGCCAGTATCTCTACCAGGCAAACAATTAGATAATAACTTCCTTGGGCATGAGTTTATAGCACCCCGCAAGCTTAACAATGTATCTACTTAAATATTTTAAAGCATATCTTTTAGAGCATTATTACAAAGGGATTTGGTTTTTTAAATGTAAAGTCTTAAAGTGAAACTCCAGTTAATTTAAAAAAAACTTACAGGTGTGCTGCATATATTTTAAAGGATTTTCACAGACTCTAATTCATACCTGCTTTTATTTTGGACGTATTTAAAACACCATTTTTCTGTGGATGCAAGGTTCTGCAGGGAGCATGTGAAATGATGTAACAAAGCAGCTACATGTCTGTTTAGCACAGACCAGGGGAGGAGATGTCACTGTTAAAGGAGCTCAAGTCCCAGCATATACTATCCTTTTATAACATCAGCATTGTATTAAGAGTACATACTAGAGTTGTTTTTGCTAATGTAATCAAAGCTTTCTTGAAAAAAAATCCCTTTTATGTAGTGAGTGCTGTCTTCTGTGTGACCATCACTCTCAACAACTTCCTGGTTTCCCAGTGTGCTTTGCGTCTCTTTCCCTGCTGCTTGACGCGATTTAATCTTGATATATATCCCATCATGCATTGCTTCCAGTAAGCAATGATAATGTTACATTGTGGGAAGTTCAGACGATGAGTTGCAGTTCAGATGGCAGACATAGTTAGAGTAGCGACGGGGCATTGAGGAAGTACATCCTATGGACATCTTCAATAAGTAAGCTTAAAAAGTTCTAGATTGAAATGTTTTTTAGGAGTGGCATAGAATTTATGGAAATTCAATATAGAAATACATATTTATTTTTTATATTTGACTATAGATACCCTTTCAGGCAATTTTCTTAAACAGATTACAATGCAATAAGAAGCATATTGTTTGGCAGCACAGCACTGCAATGGGTGGCAATTCAGATGCATTTATGGATCATAAAACTGCTATGGGGAATTAGAATGTAGAAATAATGGACACTAAGGGCCCATTCCCACCAGATGCATTGAGGTTGCACTGGCCGTTGTTTCCAGCACAGGCATTATACTGGCACTCATTGCAGCTAAATTCAGTTTGTCATATCCTTTTTTTAGGGACTGTGTCTTAAATCATATCATGTGTATGATTAAGCTGTCATAGTTGTAGCCATTCTCAATTGTTGCATACAAGTTCCAGGGGAAGTAACTTAGTGAATATGTTTGGCTTCCCTAGAACTGGTGTTCAGGATATGAGTCAGAGCATGGATGAGTCCATCAGAACTTAAAGTAGTACTAAAGGTTATTCGTTTTTTACCCTAATGCATTCTCTGCATCAAGGTTAAAAAAACGCTCTGGTACCTTGCCATGCTCCCCACTCCAAACACTTTTCTATGGTCCACCGCCACCGGCTCCATGACAATCTGCGCTGCTTCCCAAAGTTCTGGGTTGCAGAGGAAGGATCCCAAGGCCACTGAGGACAGGAAAGCGATAGGCTGCTGCAGCTGCTTGTCAAATTACTGTGAGAAAGGAGGAGGCGAGAGCATGGACATGGCTTGCAGAGCACTGTGTTTTAGTGGACGCACACAGCTCGGCTTGTCTCCTGGCAACTGCTAGGCAAAAGGAAACACCTGTAAACAGGAAGGGAGTGCCACGGTATATGCCTGTGGCAAATAAAAACAAAACAACAAGGGTTTAATATCATTTTAGGAATTAGAGGTGTTCTGTTTCCGGACAGACTGCTTTTAATGTATCCTTTTTCTTAATATTTCAAAATAATCACAGCCAACAAATAAGAGCAAATTACATTGCATTGAAAACATTAACTTTGGGGTCCTGGAAAGATATAATAATAATAATCAGTGTGCTGGCTATACTGTGTATGAATTATGTTTCACATGATTCCTCTATGTTCTTAGTTGCTCTCCCGGCTGAGAAGAGTGAGGGACTTTTCACCTGTGAAGAGAAAAAAGCAGGAGAAAAGGATACAGAAGGATGTGCAAAGAAACAGCTGAAATTTGAGGTATGCTTCTCTTCATTGTTTTATTTCTTCCATCTTTTATTTGCAGGTTTTGAAGGACTTTTGTTCAATTGCAGCTACTTTATCATATGTGCGGAAAGGTGTTTTACGGTATCATTTTGATTAGTAAAGGAGCTCACTTGTGCTGGCGAATCACGATAAAATGTATTTTAGTCTCTTAGGTCTGCTTCTCTGCATGGGG